AACCAGCGAAATGCCGTTTCCATTTTGCATTGAAGGACACCATCTGTGAAATTTAGGCCATCATGTGCCTCTCATTAAAGGATAATCTAAGCACCAAAACAACTTTAGTTTAATGAAATTATTTTGGTGTATAGATCATGCCCTGCAGTCACATTGTCTTGAAAATGTGAGCTCAGTTGAGGCAACAATATTTTATAATAAGAAAAAGTAAAGCCATTGAAGACATACGTTTAACAGCATTTTGAAGTTAATTTAACATAACGGTTTTATCCAATACGCAAATTGCTTCAAGGGTAATCTAGCATGTATATGTGTAGTCAGATACTTTTCTACGCAAAGATTATTTACATTGTAATAAACCTGAAAACTCGTTTGCCTTTTGAGTCAGACTCTCGGAACACGTGCTCAATAGCTGTCAAGATATGTTGCATTGTTCTATGTTTATTTCTGATTTTTGAAGATGTGAGTCTGAAGACTATTTTTTTTTAAGACACAAGACAAATGTTTTCATTTGAATTCCCTTGAATGTAGGGTAGTTTACTATTCAAGCCCAATGTGCTCTGAGCTTTTAAAATTATAAAAGTCTTGTAATTTAATACGTATGGTAATAATAAACTCTCGAAGGTATAGTACTGTTGGTATTTTATTATTTGAGAGCTCCGAAAATACATTTCAGATAAACAAGCTTTTTTTGAGATGGCATCCCAAATGTATTAGATCTCATTGGAGGACACTCTTGTGAGCTCCCAAACAACTGTCGATGAAACAATACCTCCTGTTCTAGGCTTTGTGATTGAGCGTTGGAGCTTGCAGAATGATCATAGTGAAATTATATATGTGCTATAAATATTAGTTTTATTCTTAAGTAGGTTTGTTTTGGATGAGAATAAAATGTGCAATCGACTGATCTACGGTACGAGATTATCCCATAGTTATTTAAATATGATTTATCTTTTTAACAATTATCTAGACATGCTTTCCAACTGAGAAACCTTATCAATAAATATTAAAAAAAATTATTTCATGAAAAAGGGTTGGAGTAACCCTTTTAGTAATTGCTTACATTTGTCTTTAACTTTAACATTATTTATTAAATTATTGATTGTTTGAAAGGATATGTTTACAATGACAATCAACCCTTCCATAAATCTGAGCAATATAGCCAACCATGATTAAAATAAAATAGGTCAAAATGGCAATATTATGGAAGGAGACCACAGTATATCCGCTCGCCATTAGTCCTGGTGAGTTGAAATTAATCCCCGGTGAGTGTGCAATGGACTCTCTAGGCTTGCAGTGGTAAGTAACTTTCAAAGTGCAGTAGGAAAGTTAGCCATGGTATATCTACTGAGATTCCAGAGTAGTGGTACAGATTAGACAATGACTAGAATATAGCAGAACACAATTGCAATAGGTATGGGACCAGGCATTCATGTTAAGCATATGTCCAACAACTGGCATTTGGCAATCAATTTTTATCATCTAAATCAGACTCTATCCAGATCGTTATTAGTAGAATCTAGGAAGGTCTATCATACAGTGATGGAAGGTCTTTCATCCAGTGATATACAATATATTTGAATACGAAGCAGCAGAAGGAAGGACGTCCACAATAGAATACAGCTTGTAGTTGATATTTACAAAGGGAGGAACAGCTAAAAGAAAATAGTGGAGTCTAGACTATCTACTAGATAAGGGAACGCGTAGCACCATATGATATACAGGTACAGGATTAGCATAATAAAGGGATCATGTTGTGCAGAACAATACAGATGATGGGAGTATGAATGATAATAGAATAAGAGCTGTGTGATGAAAATAGTGATTGATCGATAAAGTGTCACTTTGTCTTTGTCTGAGTTTTTCGTAAAGGTAGAATGCTTATAGAAATATAGGTTGTGTTGGATTTGTGTTGGAAATTCCAACACAATCACATGATCTCCATAAGACAAAGAAGGGATGGCTCGGCTACACTACCCAACTTACAAGTATAGGTCAGGAATATGAAGACAGAAAGGACATATTACAGTACCTTAGAACGGCCGGGGTTTACGTAAAATGGAGAGAAAACATAAATGTAAACATAGCCAAGAGCAGGATGCTAGAAATATGGAAATACAATATAATTAGCCAGCTCAGGATTAGAGAGGTCAGAAGAGTCAGTAAACAAGCCAAAGTCTAATACCTAGAATAACTGCAAGCCTGAAAGCATTTGAGCATTTGCCTCCTAATCGGCACATTCGAAACGTTCAGGAAGAACGAATGCAAGCACTGAACAGAATCGTAAGGCATCACTTCCCAATAGACGCGCACAGCGCCCAAAGAAAAGCTGTAGTAGGTTGTCGATCAGGTAAGTACTGCGAAAAGGTGCTACTTTATCTTATGTAAGTGCAAATTGTTGTCAAACTATGTGATGGGACTCAACGTGAATAATACAAAATTGGCAATTGATAACACCATGTAAATCTTTAGTATATTATATATTTAGCAATATGCCATATCTATTAGACAAACATAAATATCAATAAATGGTATAATTAGAAATTAAATTTAAAACATGTTTCAGTAGGTTTTGCATTCCTGCATAAAAAAGTGGAAAACAAAATACACAGACACATACAATATTCAGACACATCAGACTTACCTCTGTGTTAATGAACATTGCCATGTGATTTTGATCTAATCAGACAAAGATCATATCATCATTATGCAGGCTTTTGTCACCCCAGGCAACCTCACTTGCGTTTTTTCTTCCTGTCTTTATAAGCCTTGTTCTACAAATGTCTGCCATTTACCAAGTATGCATGTGCAGTTTTACACATCTGAGAAAAAAGAAAAAAAAAATATATAATAATATTAAAGGACCACTCTAGGCACCCAGACCACTTCAGCTTAATGAAGTGGTCTGGGTGCCAGGTCCTTCTAGGGTTAACCCATTTTTTCATAATTACAGCAGTTTCAGAGAAACTGCTATAATTATGAATGGGTTAAGCCTTCCCCCTAATCCTCTAGTGGCCGTCTCATTGACAGCCACTAGAGGCGCTTGCGTGCTTCTCACTGTGATTTTCACAGTGAGAGCACGCCAGCGTCCATAGGAAAGCATTGTAAATGCTTTCCTATGAGACCGGCTGAATGCGCGCGCAGCTCTTGCCGCGCGTGCGCATTCAGCCGGCGGGGCGGATCGGAGGCGGAGAGGAGGAGGAGAGCTCTCCGCCCAGTGCTGGAAAAAGGTACGTTTTTACCCCTTTCCCCCATCCAGAGCCGGGCGGGAGGGGGACCCTGAGGGTCACCCTCAGGGCACTATAGTGCCAGGAAAACGAGTATGTTTTCCTGGCACTATAGTGGTCCTTTAATATAATAATTCAATTTGAAATATTACACAAATGTGCTTCCAATGGTAACATAGCTGAAAAGAGACTTGCGTCCATCAAGTTCAGCATTAATCACTTCTGATGTTTGTAGTTGATCCAAAGGAACGCATGAAACCCAGTTTGAAGCGCTTCCCATTTTGCAACAAATTGGGAGGGGAGGGGGGGAATCACTCGACCCCAGAATAGCAGATATCTCCTTGGATCAAGAAGCTATCACCCCACAATTTAAAAAGCATATCCCCGAATACTATGCTCCCTAAATATGCCCCGTAGAGATGCAGAAAATCCAGCAAATGTCTATGAGGAGATTGCGCCACCCAACATTTTGTCTAACGCAAGCGTTAATTCATAGAAAGTAAAGAAGAAATATATAAAAATTCAAGAATAAAAAACATGATATTCCAGTTTGTGTGCCATAGTTTGTTTATTTATTCCCATCTTTGAAGAGAAGTGCCTTCATTCTAAAATTGTTTTAAACTTGACCTTTCATAATCAGACAATCTGATAAGTGTAAACTTTCAAGAGACATTAAAAAGGGGTTGAGACTGAGGTACGTCTGTGTGAAACATCCTATTTTAAACTAAACGGAAAGAAATGAGTGAAATAGCTGGTGTTTTTTGTTTTAAATCATATAAAGCGCATATTAGATAATTTTGTATAGATTTTGACAAAATGAAGAAGTAGACTAGAAGAGAAGATTAGAATCTGTCTAATCAGTTTGGGAAGCTTTATGAATTAATTGCTGGATTTTAGAGGAAAGTAGTTTTAAAAAGGACCCAGTAGTTGGCATTACCTTACACCATGGCCGGATTAACATAGGGGCTGATGGAGCTGCATCATTTTTTATTTTTTTTACACACTACTCTTAGGTTTGCCACCTGACTGGTATTTTAATGGCACAGGTGGTATCTGAGGCTGCCGTGCCAGTATTGCAGTAATACCGGCAATACAAATACAGGTCATTTTCTCAGAATAAATGGAAATTACTCTGCAATACCAGCACCTGCCAGTAGGGGTCACTGTGTGTGGAGAGAGGCAGGGATAGGAAGTTACAGAATATCCCTGCCTCTCTCTACTACTCACTGATCCGTGGGGGAGCAACTACACAGCAAAGAGAGTCCAGACAGCAGCTCTACAGCTCAGGTAAGTGAGGGATGGGGGGAAAGGCAGCAGGGACACATGGGGACACTGAGACACTAGGGGACATATGGGGACACTGAGACACTAGGGGACACTGAGACACTGGGAGACCTGGGAACACTGAGACACTTGGGGACACTGGAAAACATGGGGACACTGAGACACATGGGGACACAGCCACTAGGGGACACAGACACTAGGGGACACATGGGAACACAGACACTAGGGGACACTGAGACACTAGGACACATGGGGACACAGACACTGTGAGACCTGGGGACACAGACACTTGGGGACACTGGAAAACATGGGGACACTGAGACACTAGGGACACATGGGGACGCTGTGAAACATAGGGACATTTGGAGACATTGGGAGACGGAGACACTGTGTCCCTAGGGTCTCAGTGTCCCCAAGTCTCCCAGTGTCTGTGTCCCATGTTTCTCAGTGTGCCTAGTGTCCCCATGTGTCCCAATGTCCCCATGTCTATGTCCACAACTGTCCCCATGTCTCCCCAAGTGTCTGTCTCCCAGCCAGTGTCCCCTAGTTTCCCAGTATCCCCTAATCTCCCAGTGTCCCCTAGTCTCCCAGTGTCTGTGTCCCTAGTGTCTTAGTGTCCCCAAATGTTTCAGTGTCTCCATGTCTCCCAGTGTCTGTGTTCTTAGTGTCTTAGTGTGCCTGGTGTCCCCATGTCTCCCAGTGTCCCTATATGTCCCAGTGTCCACATGTCTATGTCCACAACTGTCCCCATGTCTCCCAGTGTCCTCAAGTGTCTGTCTCCCAGCCAGTGGTCCCTAGTCTCCCAATGTCTGTGTTCCCATGTCTTTGTCCCTAGTGTCTTAGTGTCCCCAAATGTTTCAGTGTCCCCATGTCTCCCAGTGTCTGTGTCCCTAGTGTCTCAGTGTCCCCATTTCTCCCAGTTTCCCTAAATGTCTCAGTGTCCCCATGTCTCCCAGTGTCTCCATGTCTCTGTGTCCCCGGGTCTCCCAGTATCCTAGTGACATGGGGACACACTGAAACATTGGGACACTGGGAGAAATGGGGACACAGACACTGGGAGACTAGGGGACTGGGCGAGATGGGGACACTGACACTGTGATACATAGGGACACTGAGACACAGGGTGACTTACGAGACTGAGACACTGGGAGACAGTGAGACACTGGGAGCAATCCATCTATACAGCAGAATCAAACTGTGAGTAGTTTGTTGGTGATTTTACAGAATTTTCTCTGATGTCACTCCTTGTGATTTACATCATGTGATGTCACACATAACTAATTAATTATACAAATGATTAAGGCTGGTATTTTTTTCCAAGAAAGGTGGCAACCTTAACTACTCTTCACATACTCTTGCTTAAAGGAGCACTATAGTGTCAGGAACACAATCATGTATTTCTTACCCTATTATGTTAAAACCACCACCCTGGCCCCTTCTTGTCTCCCTAAATATAGTAAAATATTACTTGTATTCAATTCTGCAGCTGCTGGCTCAGAAGTGGTGGTCTGAGCAAATTACAATACTTCCCCATAGGATTGGCTGAGACTGTCAACTAGGCAGATCAGGGGCAGAGCCAGCACAAGTCCAACATAGCCCTGGCCAATCAGCATCTCCTCATAAAGATAAATTGAATCAATGCATCTCTGTGAGGAAAGTTCAGTGTCTGCATGCAGAGGGTGGAGACACTGAATGGCAGTGCTGCACACTAGGCAGTACTGCCCCAGGAAGCACCTCTAGCAGCCATCTAAGGAGCGGCCAGTGGAGTTATTTTCTCTGAAAAGACAGTGTTTACTGCAAAAAGCCTGAATGGAATGATTCTACTTACCAGAACAAATACAAAAAGCTGTAGTTGTTCTGGTGACTATAGTGTCCCTTTAAGTTTGGAAGCTTAAGAGGGATGTATGGGAACAAAACTTGTGTGCACTGGCTGACATTAAAGTTAGTTTAGGTAATGCAGACGTTGGTCTCTCTAACACTGTGGCATGTCCCCTTTCTTCTACACTCACTACAGACACATTTTCTCTGTCTCAGACTATACCAGGAACTTCTGCCTGCTAGTAAGAAGGTAAGGAGACAAGTGGACCACCGAGTGCTAGGGGACAGTCCTTAGAAAGAGTGAGCGCATCATTAGACGCATTTATGTCAAGCTCAAGGTGCTGCCTGCAGAGTATGCCCTTAGTTGGACAGCCTGCAGGATTGGCAGGCAGCCTGACATGCATTCATGCCAGGCTGACCTTCCAATTCTTTGGACAAACATGCCCCCTTTTTGGGCATGTTCACCCCTTTTGGCAGGTCTTGTCACGTGATTCGCGCCAGTTTCACACCCTTTTACCCCGCCCATTGACTTCCTGCTTCACTGGACACTGCTGTTAGGGGTTATGAATTTACTTGAAAGATGAAAGCATAAATTAGAGAGAAATTAGCATAGAGTATGTGTTTTCTTATAGCTGCATCCTATGAGTTTCCCTCCAGCACCATCTCCATCAGATACATGGCGCTTGGGAGGTATGATTGTTTTAGTGTTTTTGGTCGATAAGATTCCGTAATTAGGCCCATCATAATTGTCAGCACCAGGCCCACTATGCTCTTAATCCGGCCCTGCCTTACACATATTTCTACATAGCAACACATTCCAACTCATCACCCTCTTTGTTTACTCCCTGCATCGTCTAGTAACTCTTTTTTTTATCTCCTCTCGGTTGAGTGTTCACTTTTTTAGCCATCTCTCTCTCTTGGTCTCATGCTCCCATCTGTCTCTCCACAACTTTTCCATTTTCACCAACAAACTATCAAGCTATCAGACAGCCACTGGAGGTGCTTCCTGCAGTTACATGGAGTTTAACTCCGTAAAACGACGCTGGTCTTCCTCACACTCAGCATGAAGACATCTAGCGTCTTGTAAATCCCCATGGAAAAGCAACGATTCAACGGGATTTGTAGCTCATGCGCATTACATTCCCCCTTGTGCTGATATCGAAGGTGGTAAAGACTGAGCAGGGGCAGAGAGTGTTCCTGTCCCTACTGGTAGACAGGTCCTCCCCCTGGGTGCCTAATAATGCTAAAAATAAAAAAATATTTACTCACCTTGTTCCAAGCCATGGCTCCTTCAGCACTGCTCAATTCACCTCATCAGCAATGCCACTGAGGAGGCATGGACTCCTCCACAATATCCAATCCAATGTTCCTCATAGAGGAGCATTGGGAAGCTAACGCACATGCATGTCGAGTGCCACGTGCGCTTTTGAACTTTCCCAAGAGAAGCATTGAATCAATGCTTCCCTACGAGGGATTCTGTGTCACGTGGCCAAGTTTTATGTTGTCAGTACCACGGGAGGGCCTTGATGAGTTAACCCTGCAATTTCTAAAAAACTGCAATGGATTACATTGTAGGGTTAATGGGGCAGGGAAACAGCACCAAGACCACTTCATTGAGATAAAGCGTTCTGGATGACTACAGTGTCCCTTTAATGATAGTCACTGGTCGGTTTCTATCTTATTCTTACGCATCCTGTATTTTAAATAAATCTTATGCTATTCTTTGCAATGAAAAGGACTTAGTAGTGAGAGAATCACAATGCGATTTTCACTGCAGGATATGTAACACTGAAGTTTACATTTTGTCATTTCTTTCTATTTTACAGCAACATTTAAATGGCTTCAGCAGATCTGGGTATAGCCCTTGCCAGGGATCAGAGAACGCAATAACCAGGTAAGGAGTAGATTTTAATCCAAGCTGTTGCATAGTATTCTCAAATGTATCAACACGGTGGAAATAGAATATGCTCTGTTTTGGTTGAACTTGTTTTCTAGAGCTCTTTTCTATATAAACGTTGTATCAGTATGATTTAAAATGCAGAATGAGTCCAAAAGTTATGAACGCAGGAATTCCTGTGTGAGTGTCACTGTTAGAAACACGTTTTAACACCTGAGGGTAGATATTTAAAGATCAATTCTGGATTATCGCTCTGCCTGTAAAGCAATCACCATGGAATTAAATAAAGTGCTAATAATATGATAATCCAGAAAGGTTCTCAAACCAGAGCTCCAGTATTAAATGAACGTTTAGAACATCTGCAGACTGTGGAACACTGGCACTCATGGTCAAAGGTCACCATCTTCTGGCCTAAAAGGCACCTAAATAGACCTGAGGTGCAGTGGCATACACACAATCCATGGGGCCCCGGTGCGAAACTGATCCATGCCCCCCCTACTCCTCCCCCCCGACAGACACACACACAGACACACATACATACACACAGACACATATACATACACACAGACACATACATACAGAGAAACATACATACACACAGACAGACACACATACATACAAAGACACATACATACAGACACACACACATACATACAAACAGGCACACATATATACATACATACAGACAGACTAACACATACAGACACGTATACATACAGAGACACATACATACACCCAGACACACAAACACACACACAAAGACACACACATACATACACACAGACACACATACATACAGAGACACATACATACACACAGACACACACACACACACACACACAACACACATACATACATACAAAGACACATACAGACAGACACACATACATACATACACACACACACATACAATGACACATACATACAGACAGGCACACATACATACAGAGACACACAGACACATATACACACATAGAGACAGACACATACAGACAGACTCATACATACACACATACATACACATACATACAAATATATATATATATATATATATATATATATACACACACAAAATGTTTAAGTCCCCCTCCTGTTTCCTACCTTTTAGGTGCAGGACTCAGAGGGTGACATTCCCTGGGGTCCAGTGGTGGCTCAGGCTGGTGGGAGTCAGAGTTCCCACTCTGACTCCCTCTCCTTCCTCCCGCGCGGGCTCTCTCTAGCTGGGAGGAGTGACATGCAGTCACTTCCTCCCAGCTGTGATGTTACATACAGACAGACAGGCACACATACATACAAACACACACAGACACACATACATACAGACAGACTAACACATACAGACACACACACATACAGACAGGCACATATACATACAGAGACACATATAGACAGACACACATACATACACACACATACAATGACACATACATACAGACAGACACACAGACACACACAGACAGACTCATACATACACACATACATACACACACAAAAACACATACATACAAATATATATATATATACACACACACACAAAATGTTTAAGTCCCCCTCCTGTTTCCTACCTTTTAGGTGCAGGACTCAGAGGGTGACATTCCCTGGGGTCCAGTGGTGGCTCAGGCTGGTGGGAGTCAGAGTTCCCACTCTGACTCCCTTTCCTTCCTCCCGCGTGGGCTCTCTCTAGCTGGGAGGAGTGACAGGCAGTCACTTCCTCCCAGCTGTGATGTTATCACAGGGGACCTGGTCGCACTGTTAAACTGCCACAGCACCGACCGGGCCTCTATCGGGTGGCCCTAACAGCATGGGCCACCTGATGGACCTCTTAAACATGCAGCCTCGGCGGTTTCCCGCGCGGGCCAGGGCCGCAACATATGGTGGTGGGCACCCGGTCCAAGGCGTCCGCAGGGCCCCCTGGAGTAACAGGCTCGGTCGCAGCTGCGACCACGGTATGCACACCACTGCTGTGGTGTCATGCTCCAACGTGGTAGATTACTTGTTAGAGATGGACAAATGGTTTCCTAAAGTATGTATTACCCTACAGAGATGAATTCCTGGACTTACTTACTATAAAGATAAGTAAAATACCTGAAGTGGAACACAAATATTTCCCAAACATATGATAGTGACACATACTGTAGAGAACATGCATAGGCAGGGCCGGCGCGTCCATAAGGCGGCACAGGCGGCCACCTTAGGGCGCACGGGCTCTGGGGGCGCAATATTTCAGTGACCGGCAGGAGGGAGGCTCTCCCTCCTGCCTGGCCACCATCTCGACCCCCGGCGCAGCGTGCGGCAGTGCTGTGATCAGGCGCGGCGAGGGAGCTCTAACCTCTGGCTCCCTCGCGCGCTGTCTGCTGATGCCGCGGGAGACGGAATATGACGTCATCCCGCAGCATCAGTAGGCAGCCCGCGAGGGAGCAGAGGATGGAGATTAGAGCTCCCTCGCCACGCCTGATCACAGCACTGCTGCACGCCGCCCAGCAGCCCCATTGACCGATCCATCATCCACACCAGCTCTCCAGGTAGGGAGGCTGGGTGGAAAATATGTAGTTATAAAAATAATTTGTGAATGTATGTGATGTGTGTCTGTGAGTGACAGAGTGTGTGTGTCTGTGAGTGACAGTGTGTGTGTGTCTGTGAGTGACAGTGTGTGTGTGTCTGTGAGTGACAGAGTGTGTGTGTCTTTGAGTGACAGAGTGTGTGTGTCTGTGAGTGACAGAGTGT